TTGGTCCTTCGAGCCGGATTGAGAGAGACGACACGGTGAATCTCCGTGCAGTGGTCGTTACGCGTCGTACTAGCACGCGCACGAATGGCACGGCCGCTTAGCAACATTAACGGAGATTCAATGAAGGGAACGATCATCGACTCGGAAGCAGTGCACGCGACGTACCGCATTGTTTTGTAAGCCCGCTACGCAGTAAGTAGGCGACGGGTAGTATATTATAACAAGGAGACAGCAGGCGTAGTCGACATTGCCGCCTTCATCATCACTGCTAGTAGCGTGCAGTTTCTTACACGGACATACAGGCGTAGCCAACATTGCCGCCTTTCATTTCTATTTTCGCTACCAGCAAGTGTACGACATCTTTGTCGATCCAGAAACGCAAGGCGTACCGGAAGCATCCCAGCCCCGATACGGAATTATAATCGCAGGAAGCGACGTGCGATCTCCTTCGTACGCTACCAAGGTGGCATCCAGTCTCCCGCTCGGCATTTATAGAGAAGCCTCATCATTTTTCAAGGACGTTATTTTCAAGGACATGACGGCGGAATATTCTTCCAGGAAATTAAGAGGATCTCACAGCGAAATTATCTGTACCTTAACGAATAGATAAGTAATAGCAATTTTTCCTGTAAAAAGGTAAATTAGCTCACGACATTAATAGAGGTTAATGCGCTCGTGTTATCGTTACTGTACTGTATCTTATGTTGTATTTCCGCTGCTGTTGTCGCTTATATTGTATTTTCGCTAATATTGCAATACTTCACGTCGCATATATTTTAAACGTTCGTATTAATTGGCTAAAAATTGTTACAGAATGGATGAAATTGCGAGCTTGATTAAGCAGAGAGGCCGCGTTAAGGCCAAACTTACTACATTCGGTAATTTTCTTTCTCTGTTAGTTATAGAACCAGAAAAACAACTGGAATTAAGCAGTCGTTTAGAGAAAGCCGAAAAATTATGGAATGAGTTTGAATTGTTGCAAAATAAAATAGAGGATTTAGATGATTCTGAAGCTCAAACGCACCAGCGTATAAATTTTGAGGATTCGTACCACGAATTGATAAGCAGGGCTCGACAAATCAAGTTGAAAGAACGCCCAACGAGTCCTCAGCTCGCAACAGGTATGCCTCAAGCAGTAATTCCGCAACCAGCTGTCGTAATTGAACCTGCAATCGCTCAAACGCGCACGATATTGCCAACCATAGATTTGCCTAAATTTGACGGTAACTATGAGCGGTGGGTACCGTTTAGAGACTTATTTGAATCACTTATAGCAACAAGTCTAGCTCTTTCAGCTGTTCAAAAATTATATTATTTGAGATCTGCACTGACCGGTGAAGCAGCTAAGGTGATAACCTCGTTAGAAATAACCAACGATAATTATGTAATCGCTTGGGAATTATTAAAAAATAGATACGAGAATAAGCGTTTAATAGTGCAACATCTAATTCAAACGTTGCTCGATTTGCCGTCCATCAATAAAGAATCTTATGCAGGTTTAAGGCAGTTAGTAGACAACGTGTCTCAGCATGTTCAAACTTTATCAAAGCTGGAGCAACCTGTTGGGAGCTGGAGTACATTGCTAATTCACATTATATTACCAAAAGTGGACAGGGGTTCACGGAGGGAGTGGGAATTAAAACGATCCAAAATGGAGGAATTCCCCACTCTAACAGAATTTATAGATTTTTTAATAAATCGTAGTACTTTTTTAGAAGCATTGTCTCATGCAAATCGCAATGTGCAGCCCTCTGGCGATACTTGCAATAATAAGGTGACTCACTCT